CTTGACGACCTAATATTTTATTTCAGGTATCAAAATGCCTTTAGGCCTAACAGTGCGCCATATATTTTAATAACAAAGCACTTTATATCGTTAAAAGTTTCAGGAAAAGAAAGGAAAATGTAAATAACAAAACATTATAAAAAATATAGACATTTTAAAAGTAAATGCTTTTAAAAAAAAATAAAATTATACCACATTGTAGGGCAACATAACATATATAATATTGCTAAAAGCCTCTGCAGGAACCGAAACTGTTTAGAAGAGGCAGACGTGTCAACCTCACTAAGTCAACAGTGAGACACCAAAGTGAAAAAATCCATATGAAATTTATAAAAGGGTGTATCCAGCGGAGTCGAACGACCATCGAAAAATTCTGAAAAATACATTGCAGTCTGATTATAAATTAGTAATAAACACTTAACTTTCAAGGAAATGAGTTACATTCATTATGTAGAAGAAAAAGCCCACTTTATTTGGTGGGGGGGGGGGACTCCACACTCGTTAGTGTATATACATATATAGGGCCGAACTGACCCACCCGAAATTTAATGTTTATATATATATATACTTCTCTTCTGGTTCTAAAACATTTTAAAGTGTATATTTTGTTTCTTTGCTGAGTAAAGTAAACTTGATTATATAAATTCTACGAGAGTTCATTCCGTTTATTGTTTAGACAATATTGTAAGATAAATGTTCATATACTATCATAATAGATGTAAAATATTAAAAAAAAAAGATGTTGCGAAGTAAATAAAAATATATTTTCTGTTAGAAACGCGCATTTTATTTTATTTTTGTAAAGGAAGATCTGTACCTCAATAAATAATAAACATGGCGGCCACCTGGTATCTGGGTCGGTGTTATACATTTTTCTGGGCCAGTTTTTTTTCGTTTCATTCTGGCCGTGTGTATGTATGTGTATATATATTGTTACGCCTCTGGTCGTTTGTTAATTTCCGGTATAATTTCTTTCGGATGAAACTTTAGCAATACAAGTTCTTTTTTAAATAAAACTTGTTTATTCTTTCTCAATTCAACTTTGTAATACGCTTAATTTCCACAGTTACTTTAAACACACGCTATAATTCACAATAATTCACGCACTTACTTACGGTCACTACCGCGCTTGACTCAATTGTCCGTCTTTATCTCTGCCTGTCTGCAATTCAATTCCGATTAATTTGCCTCACGTTATCCGGCGCACTTATATACAGGAATAGAGGGCGCCTAGCACATACTGGATTATTTGTGATGTTCCCCGATCCTTCTAGAATATCATGACGTGTTACCAGCGTCATGTGACTACCGCTGTCGTAACAATATATATATGATTCTTTATGTGCCTATACTTAAGCTTTCATCTTGTTTTAAGCCTAATTAAAAAAATTCTTACCGGTCACTGGGCTACCAAATGTTCTTCGATGACTCCAACTAAAGGTGATAGATGTCGCTGTGGTCGAAACAACTTTCAATTGTGGCGCCGTAGGAGGTACTGCAATATTACAAAAATATCTTTGACTTTTATGACAGGGCATATAAATTATTTATGAGTCTGCACTATTTCTTCCTTGCGAACTATTATTATTGACCACCAAGTGACGATAGTGGAATTTTATCTAAAATTTAACGCTTTGACCTTAAGCTTTAAAAATTTTCTAATAAAGCAGTTAGCAATGCTTTTGACACTAGTTAGTAACTCTTCAACTTCTCGTAAATTATTCTGCTACTACTAATATCAGTGACTTACCATCAGCAAGGGTCTTGACGGTCACCCTCTCGGACGTTGGTCCAGGTCCTTTATTATTGAACGCCTGGACCGACACAGAATACAACTGAGAACGACGCAGATTTGTCAAGTGAGATTCCAGGTCCATGGTTTTACCTTTCAGTTCGACAGTCTTGTACATCACAGGATCTGATGATGTTACCAACGTATAACCGATATAGTATCCTTTAATTGAACCGTTCCATAGTTCCAGACGTGGAGGCTAGAGGTCGTCGTAAGGAATAGCCAAATAAGCAACAAGGTAGAAGCATATACGATAAATAAAAAAATAGAAAAAGATATGATCATCAAATTTTTACCAGTCACATAAAAAGTAAAAAGGTTATCATTTTAGTGGTCATTAAATGTCTCATTTCTTTATATAACATAAACTGAGAAAAAAAAGTCATATTGTTTATTGTTGTTTTGCTCAGATGTGAACTAAAAATACCTGTCTAACATATTGTTTATTGTTGTTTGGCTCAGGTGTGAACTAAAAATACCTGTCTAACATATTGTTTATTGTTGTTTGGTTCAGGTGTGAACTAAAAATACCTGTCTAACATATTGTTTATTGTTGTTTGGCTCAGATGTGAACTAAAAATACCTGTCTAACATATTGTTTATTGTTGTTTTGCTCAGATGTGAACTAAAAATACCTGTCTATCATATTGTATATTGTTGTTTGGCTCAGGTGTGAACTAGAAATACCTGTCTATCATATTGTATATTGTTGTTTGGCTCAGGTGTGAACTAGAAATACCTGTCTATCATATTGTATATTGTTGTTTGGTTCAGGTGTGAACTAAAAATACCTGTCTATGATATTGTATATTTTTGTTTGGCTCATGTGTGAACTAAAAATACTTGTCTATTCCAATAAACTTACCAGTCAACATAAATATGTAACATAATGTGTGGAAAGTTTGACTCAGATTTGTTGTCATGCACATGATTTGTTTACATTGATGGATTTCCATTACGCTGTGAAAACGCCATTTTGTTGGCTAGAAGCTTAGAAGTAGAAAATTAAACCAGAATTTGATCTCACCTCCCATGTCACTTTGATCGAATTTGGTCCTGTGGCTACTGCTTTCAAATTCAGAGGTGGCGCTCCAGGCACTGAAGAAGAAAATCTACGTGTATAATTCTGGATTACGTGGTGAGCAACCGGTACTAATCTATATATTAGTTTACTTCGAAACTTGACAATTAAATGAATGAATTATTTAGAACATCCGAGTTAGAAATGTTAGTGGTCCTATTGTCAGTTCGTTAAAAGCCTCACTGCAAGCATATGCCAGTTCATTAAAGGCCTCATGGTAAACAAGTAATGATATGTCAGTTTATTAGAGGCCTAACGGTAAAGAAGTAATGATATGTCAGTTTATTAGAGGCCTAACGGTAAACAAGTAATGATATGTCTGTTTATTAGAGGCCTAACGGTAAACAAGTAATGATATGTCTGTTTATTAGAGGCCTCACGGTAAACAAGTAATGGTATGTCTGTTTATTAGATGCCTCACGGTAAACAAGTAATGATATGTCAATTCATTAGAGACCCAACGATAAACAAGTGATGATATGTCAGTTTATTAGAGGCCTAGCGGTAAAGAAGTAATGATATGTCAGATTATTAGAGGCCTAACGGTAAACAAGTAATGATATGTCTGTTTATTAGAGGCCTAACGATAAACAAGTAATGATATGTCAGTTTATTAGAGGCCTAACGATAAACAAGTAATGATATGTCAGTTTATTAGAGG